AATTCTAGCAAATTCAGGAACTTTTTGAGCAAAAGAAACGATTTTTACTTTGCAAAAGAGCGCTTAAGACCAATGGGCAAAAATGACGAAGCTGTGAGCGGCGAAAATGAGAGTTTGGATTTAACTTTTAAGTTTTTGAGGAGAATTTTGAAGTGTGGGATTGTTTCCGTTGCAGTGGTTTGTAAGGTTTTGATTTATGGCTACAAAAGGGCTTTTGCGATTGAGGGAGTGGTGAATGCTGGTTGTGGAGTAATAGGGTAGAACATTTTGTCGCTGAGAAATGCGTGGTCGAAGACTTTGTAGGTTCTTCAGGTGTTCAAAGAACAATATTTAATTTTTGTTGTGCTTTTTCCATGGCTGAGACTGCTATCACAACTCCTTGGCCTTGAAGGAGAATTTGGTTAAAATAACCATGAAAAAGTAAAATTAAGAAAATGATTTTTTTAATTTTAATTTTATTTATTCTCCTCCTGTCGGTCTCCTTCTGCCGAAATCAATGGCAGCACTCTATTTCTCTCTCTTATTTTCTTTCTCTCTCCCCAAAAGGCCGAGACCCACCTCTCGAGAAGGTCGAGAATGTGGCCGCCGAGAATGGCCCTGGCGACGACGCCGGTGAGGTTCAGGGCTCTGAACGTGCCGTTGATCACGCCGTTCACGATCGCGACATCGAGGCTCGAGAAGGTCGAGAACGTGGTGGTTCGGATCGAGCTGAGCAGTGGATCCATGGGTGGGGTGAAATTCTGATTTTTTTTTCATTTTTCTTTCTTCTCAGAAAGTCATTTTGTAAATAAAAATTTTTGAAAAGTTATTTTACTAATAAAACTTTCCTATTGAGTTATTTTTACAAAGGCCTCCCTTGGAAGGTATTCAATTTCTGTTCATATGGTTTTTCAAAAAAAATAATTATTGCTTTATTTTATTTAAAATAGATTTGAGTGTTTTCTAGTTAAGGGCATTTTGGTACTTTCAATAAAAAGTAGATTATATGCAAGAATCAGTTAAAAGGTTAATGAAATTTAACGGAAAGAAAATTGCCAGCGTTTTAAGAGTTCAAGGATTGTTTTGTCAAAATTAAAAAAAGAAGAACTAAAATGTCACTTATTAAATAGTTTAGGGATTATTAGTGTAAATTATTCTTTTTTTCTTGGGATTTTTGGGTCTTTTCATGTCCTATGGTTTGATTGTACACTTTTGTCATCAGTTTTTTATTTCTTTATTTGTCTTTATAATTACTAATTTATATCAATTATCAATAAAAATTAACATTTATTATTTTGAATACATATCTTAATAATTTTTTATCATTTCAGTTCTGAATCAAATGCAACAGACCACCTAAAAAAGGTCTAAAAATAAGGTAATATAACTCTTTCTAAATCTTTTAATTTACACTATATATAATTTAAGATTTTTAACTTTCTTAATTATTATTATTTTTTTAAAAAAAATTTATATTTTCCAGTTAAGAAGAACAAAAAAAAATAAAATAAAACTATAATGTATTATAATAAAAAACTTTTAACTAAAATATTATATAGCATATATATATATATATAAACTAACCCTATACTATAAAAATTATCAATTTTTTCTGTAATACACAGCAACACGCGGATTTTTGTCAGTAAAAATGGATGAGCATACTGTATTTGAAAATAATGGGCGCGTTTAGAACTCGTTCTAAAATGATTTTATTTTTTGTATGAAAATGAAAATGAAAATGAAAACGTTTTCATATCAAGAGATTATTTTCAGTGTAAAAAAACTCATTAATGTCTTTTTTTCTCTCTCTTTGCTTGAGAGAGGAGAAAACGAAAATAAAAAATGAAAAACGACTAAAAGTCGTTTTTCATTTCTCTCTCATTTTACACTAACCCAAAAAATCATTTTTATTTTTTGTCTTTATTGCGCCAAACGCCGTTTTAGAAACGTTTTCATTTTTTCTTTCTAAAAAAACGTAAAAAAATAAAAATGAGATCAATTCTAAACACCGAGAATAATTGTCGGTAAAACCCATGAGTGGATTGAGGCTATCTTCTGTGTCATTTAGTTAATCTAGAGGAAAAAAAGCAACAACAAAAAAAAAAAAAAAACCTTGATGCGTGGAGTGTGGACAGTGGAAATAGCTTTTAGCACTGTATTAGGATGAGAAAGTATTCGGATATATTATAAGGCCAACGTCTATGTGACATCTAAAAACATGTGTTTTAATCAGATCCACATGAAAAAACTTTTTCACTTTAGGACATTACAAAAAAGCCAAATCTGAGAGGCAAAGATGATAAGATTTTTATCCTTCTTTGTCAGAACACGAGTTCCTTTATTTTTATTTTTATTTTTTTCAATACAATTTTGAGGCTATGGAGATGACCTCTTTTAGCTTTAGTAACCAACCATATATAGTGGACAGTATAAAGAAGCATAGAGGTATGTTTCCATTTTTATCACATGGGTAAGTGTCATTGTCCAAGTACAAAGGAAGTATTCTGTTCCCAATAATAATTCTCAGGAATCAAAGGAAAGAAATTGGTCATTTTAGATGAAGTTCAAGATTGGAGTGTTCTTTTATATATATATATATGTATATTAATTTTCCATCTAGTTTTTACTTGTAGTGGAATTTTGGTGGGCAACACCCACTTTTAAGGTATGTAATGGTTATTTGTTTTCCCCTTGTCGTGGTGCATCATGACAATAAGCAGCTTGCAAATTGAATATGACTAATGCTATGTGCTTGTCCCATTCCACATATTGGAAGTGGGAAAAACATTTAATAATCGGGAAAAGTTAGGTGCTTTGACGCATTTTCAATTTTTAAGTAAAATTGAATGTTGTTTGAGGAGATCTCCATCATTCAAACTATTTATGGATTATTTTTATTTTTATTTTTAAAGAGGCGTCAATCATGCACTAGTTATATGCAATTTTCCTTGTTATTACTACTACATTTTTTTTTAACAGTTAGATTTTTGCTAGATTTGGTTTTAGTTTTAGTTTTTACTATTTACAATCATATTTATTGCATAAATGTCCCTTTAAGAAGAGTAAGCAATTATATGCCAATGGAAGTTTTCTTATTATTTCTTCAAGTCTAAATTGCTAAATTTGAAAATAGGCGATTATTTGTGTCAATCTAGTCTAAATTTTAGGGTTATTTGTGCTAATCTATTGAAAGTTGAGGGGCGCCATTGATGACAGTAAAAGATGAGAAGGTTAATATCTGTTTTCCTCCCAACTTTGCGTCTTTTGGTCAACCCCCATGAGCAAATAAATTTGACATCTAACTACCTAAACTTCACTTCTCTGTCAAGTTGACCCTCTCTTTAAATGAAGTTGTCTTTTCTTAGCAAAACTAATGGTGCCCACTGCACATGATCTTTTTTAAGGGTCTCTTCCATAAAAAGAGAAAAAAAAATCGATTAGGTTGCAATTTAAAATAAATACAGGTCTTTCTCCGATAAAGTCAATTTATGATTGTTAAATTTGATCAAAATCACATCAGATAATAAAGTATACTAAAAATAAATTTTAATATAAAACTGATGACTGAAAATAGAACCTTTTCAGTAGTTCATTTATTCAGTGTGTACATAACAATCTATAATAAATAGAGTGACAGAAAGTGACAAAGAGAGTACATATGTCAAACAACGAATTCACAAAATGACAAAGAGAGTGACTGGTTGAGTGATGCTACAATTTCTCTTTCATCTACAAAAATACTAGCGTCATTATTTCTGTCACTTTCTGCATTTATTGTTTAATACATTGAATCCACTGTATCGTTTTCTGTTTAAATACTAATATATCATGTTAGTAGAGTTCACATGTCAAATACTGAATGTAAAAAGTAACAAAAAGAGTGACAGAAAGAGTGACGCTAGCATTTTTCCAGGGACTTTTTATGTGACAAAGTTAATATGAAATAAAGTTTAAAACGTTTTTCATTTAAAATTTAATAGAAGGTCATTTATGAGATATTTTTTAAGTTTAAGGACTATTTATGAAATAAAATTGACTATATGTATTAATTTTAGGGAGAGAAAAAAGTTTAGGAACTAGAATTTATTTAAAAAAAAAATTGTTTATTTTATTATTTTAGTAGAAAACTAGGCAAATAATTAAGCCAAATGCATGGGCCACCTATGTAAACGAGAATGGCAGGGGACTCATGGTATGTGTATGTAATCGCAGAGTATCCCAGGTGGGAAGCAATGGAGGCGTTATGGGAGTCCATCTGACAAAAGCGAATAAAAAATAAGGTAATAGAATTTAAGAATAATAAAATTAAAAAAAAAAAAAAAGACTTTCTATAGGATGGTCTTATATTGACGGTATACATTTTTAATTTGTATCTCGTTAAAATTATATTAAAATAAAACATAATCACATAATAAATAATTTTTAATATAGATTTAAAAGACAGAATTTAAGTCTGCACAAATCTCAAAAGAAAAAAAAGGGTCTTTCTCCTGTAAAATTTTTTAATGAGATTAATTTTTAATTGTTAAATTTAATAATAATCACATGATATTAAAAAAATATATAAAATAAATAATTTTTATTATAGGGTAGACTTTTAAAAATAAAAGTTTATAGTTTAATTTTTTTAATACCTACTAAAAAAAAGAGAGTGGGGGATTTTGAGATATGGAAAAGAATCTGACTATATCTTTTAAAGTTGAAAAAAGAATGAGCAGTTGGCAAAGGGACAAAAACAAAATAACTAGAACACTACACAACACAACACTTTTAAGTAAGAGAGAGAGAATGTGTGTTTTCTTTAGTGTGGGACTTGCCCAGTAAGTACTCTTTGCTTTGATTAGCAAAGAAAAAAGTACTCTTTAATTTGTCTGTCTCTTTGTTTGCTTCTTTCTACACTCATTGGTTGATGTTGGGGACTCAGAAGAAGTGCCCAAAATTCAACACACACAAAAAAAGTTTTTTTTTTTTTTAAAGTTTTTTTTTTTAGTTTTTATTTATGTTTATTTATTTTTATCTCCTTCTTGACTTCTCTTTTTCTTTCCACCACCACCATCATCATCATCTCTTCCACCACTGGTTCCCCATAATTGTACTTCTTTCCTTTTCTCTCTTCACTTCTGATCTTATCTCTCTCTTTTAGTTTCTCTTACCCGCTTTCTTTTTTACACACACAAAACTAGAGAAGCCCACAAGGCCTTTTCACACTCAACGAAGTAGTAAATACCTCACAACTAGTTTTTCTTTGCTGCAATTCCGACATACCATGTATGCAACTCTTTCTCCTAATATAGATTCGATTCTTAGCAACTTTTTTTTTTCCTGCGCTTTTTCTGCTGTTGTAATTTTTTTGTTTCTGTTTTTTGTGTGTGTTTGTTTTATAGTATGTATAGTTTTATCCATGTTTTTTTTTTTTTTTATGCTTTTATTGTTTATGTAAACTTTTATTTTTCTAAGTTCTCTTTCCCAGTTTTCTGGGTTTCTGTTATATTTGACTCTTATGGCATTTTTTGGGCTTTATACTTACCATTTTATTACCGTTCATAACTAATGATTAGTTACCATTTTTTTTAGTGCGATTTAATATTATCCTTAATAGAACTCTAGTTCTATAACTGATGAAAAATTTAGTAGATCATCTCAAGTGACTGATGAAAAATCCAGGTTCGTTGAAATGTTTGTTCTGCAGTTTGCTTAAGCGGGGAAAAAGGAAAAGAGGAACTTTGTATAAGAAATCATGAAATTTTCTGTCTTGGTGTTTCCCATTTTAGCTTCAGTTGGTCTACTCTTAGAAATGGATTTAGACCATGGTTAAGAAAAGACATAAACCTATGTTAGGATTAAACTAGCTAATCATCAATACAGGATTTTTTTTTTTTTTTTTTTGCACCCCGAAAAGTTTGTTTCAGAAATTAGATCGAGATAATCCGTCTCGCAGATTAGTTCAATCAAGTCATAAGAAATTGTTCCAATAGGGATGTGAATGCTAGATGCTGGACATAAATGTTTTAGTAACTATTTTGTTATTCCTGACAATAGTTAACTACCAAAATGGCCGTTTATCAAATTTAGTGTCGACTTCTTATAGCTTGATGGAAATGGGATAGTCCCTAATGATCTGATTCTCTGAGGCATCTGACTATATAGAAATTCCTTTCTCACTAAACAATCTTCAGTAGAAGGGTCTTATTGTAGGATTTTTGCTACTATAAAGAATACATACTGGTGAGCCAGGTTTTTTTTTTCAACTTCAGAGGACAATTTCCCATACTAAAACAGGGAAAGTTTCCTCTTTTGTTCTCATGAATCATAATGAATGAGATCTCGGAATAATATATAAGAAATTCAGAATTTAAGGTTTCGAGACTTGTCGAAGTTTATTTTAGTTTTTCCCGTCCAATACACTCCATGTTGGATGTTGTCCAGTGAAAATACTTTATTGGAAGTCCTGTAGCTTTGCTACAGAAGGTTGTATTGGACATTGTTTTCAACTCGACTAAATGGTGTTGAGAAAAAGGTAGCGTAGAAATGGCTGGTATTTAGGTGGCGGTTTGTCAGATGGCCGCTGCGATGGTGGTTGTTGGATAACTTTGGTTGCTGGCTCTTGCAACTGGAAAATTTTAAACGTGTGGGAGGAACTGCGAATATGCATATACGGACTTTGGGATTTGTTTATTCTCATATGTTTTGAGGATTATCTTGTTGATCTTTTTATATAGTCTGGAGATCTTCTTTGCCGATGTTAGGTACTTGTAGGCGTGGCTTAACATGTTTTATTATGACTTCCTAAAATTTTCATTTGCATTTAGTATCACCGGACTTTCTGCCTTGTTCTTCTTGGTTATCTATCTATTGATGATTACACACTTTTGTTTGGTTATGTGTTTTGATGATTCTGGCAGTACCTCTGCTCAGATTGTTCTTTTACTGTTTTTTGTAGTACTGTTTGTTCTTGTTTCGCTCATGTATAATTTTCTGGATGAAGTTTATTGTGTCGATTATTGAATAGCTAGTTTGTTCCTTTATTTCTCAGATTTGAAGTGTGATCTCTTGTTTACGTTTGGCAATCCAATTCGTCTCGGCCTATTTAGTATACGTGTAGTAGGAGTACTAGTAGAATATAGACTGCTGCATATGGGGTTTTCATTATTTCTTTATAGTACGGTGTCTTAGCTATGGTTAATGACTTATATAACAATTTACTGACTTAGTATTTTTGGTTTGCTTTTGAGTGATGGCTTTGGAGGCTTATACATATGTATCAGTACCATTTAGTTGAGTAAAATTTGCTTTCCGATGCTTTAGATTTTTTTGGCTAGGCACTATTTTACATCCTTATAATGCCTTGTAGAGATAAGTTTGGTTATGCAGATACGTAGTGAAGTCGGTAGCAGTATCACGGGATAATGTTTAAGAGATGTTTGATCGATCATATATCAAAACAAGTATCAGCTGTGTTATTACTAGGGCTTTAGCACCACAATTTGTTCACAAATGAAACTCTTGATGGTTTAGCCAAAAGTCTATTGGAGGGGTTTAAATTATGTCATGGAAGGATTATCCTTGCTTTATTCAGTGGAGAGAGGAATTTAATCTGTTTAATGGTTATATTGGAACATGTAATTCTTCCCACTCAAATGCCAAAACCAAGAACCGTTTTAAGCATCCTTCAAATAGAACAATAACACTTTTGTGCATCTATCAAGCTAAGCTTTCTCCTTATTCTTTCTTCATCGTCTCCTATAGATAGTGTGGTTTTCTTTTTTCATTAGGGACAATTGATTTGAAAAAAGTTTCATTTATTTTCTTCTGGCTAAAGAGCTAGTTTCATACTTATCAAGACAATTTATTGCTTAAATTAAATGGTACACTTCTCTAAATGAGATAAGAGCTAAAGCCCTTAAGAATTAGTTCCATGCAGGTTTGTCCATTCTCCTCGACAAGGTTTTGGGTCTGAGTCAATCCCGCCGCAGTGGCGGGATTTATGGGCACTCAGCTATGCAAGGGATCCATACTCCACGGGATGTCTTGCCTCCCCAAGATTGTTTCGGTAGGCCGCCCTCTATCCCTATGACCCTGTTCGCTTGAGCAAAATAAGATCCATGTAGGAAAGGACATGTTGGACTCCACAGGCCAGCAGAGAGTTATGGAGTAATTAAGTTTCCATAATTTGTGAAGAAAAGCTTTTAAGTAGTTGTTTCACTTAAGAACGTTAACATATTCTTTTAAAGGGAAGTGCCGAGTCATTCAGGGTGGCTTTGCACCAAGTGAACCCCACATAATTGCTGTCTTTTGCGGTGCTGTCATGTGTTTGGTCTCCGTAGTGAATGTGTGGAACACACGACCTATCAAGTCATTCAAATCAACATGCCAACAGGATAGTGATAAGTTCAGAATCCTTACTGATTAGATTGCATAGCAAACTCCCTATTCACTTGAAGCAAATAATCTTTTGCATAATTTTTGTCTCAACACTGTTGTAGTGCATTATGACATGTATCCTGTTTTCTAGTGTCCGCTTGCTGCTTCTACTCCCAGTTTACATGCTCTCTCTCTCTCTCTCTCTCTCTCTCTGTCTCTACGCATTTACACAAATGGAGTGGAAAGAAGAAAAGGGAAGCCCATTTTGTCAGGGAAAGTAATTCATCTTTTTGTTGTCTGCAGGGGAAGATCAAAGTAACAATTAGTCGTTCTTGGATTCTTCTTGTGATTATTCAATAGAAGAAAGAAGATATTGTATGCACTTTCTAGCTTAGCAAAACATGATAACACCAGACATCAACTTGGAATGCGAAAATGATTCAGAAGTCAGCAGCCAAGTAGCTTCCGACGTAGCACCGCAAGACTCGTTCCCTAATCCATCAAAAGAGAGCACCACCAGCTCGTCCTGTCTCACGAATATTATAAAACTTCAGGAAGATCCCGCGCCTGTTTCCCTTGACTTATCACTGCAGTTTAGCTCCAGTTTGAACCCTGAGTTGAGAGGCAGGGGTGAAGTTCCTACTCATACTTCAGTGTCAACAAATCCAAGAGTCTTCTCGTGCAATTACTGCAGGCGCAAATTCTACAGCTCGCAGGCACTCGGGGGACATCAGAATGCTCATAAGAGGGAGAGGACAATGGCAAAACGCGCTATGAGGATGGGAATTTTCTCCGGGAGATATAACAGCTTGGCATCTCTTCCCCTTCATGGTTCTCCATTTCGGTCCCTCGGGGTAGAAGCTCATGCTGCAGCACACCAAAGAACCATACCGTCGGAGAGACCTGATATGAGAGGCGGAGCAAGGTTTCAGCCAGGCTATTATGGACTGCCGGTTTTCATGGAGGACGACGACATGGATCTGTTTTGGCCCGGGAGTTTTAGGCAGGTGGATGAGGGAACTGGTGGTGGTTCGGAACTCCAATTTGCTCAGAATTCAGATATGAATATTGTGACACAGATGCCATCCCCAAGAACAGATTCATCTTCTCCTGATCTTACTTTAAAGCTCTAAGATTTTTTATATATTATAAGTCAAAGTTTCTTTAGAATGCTGCTACTTATGTTGTAAACTTTGTACAGCGAGATTGCTTTTGTAACGGCCGCATTTTCTTTTTCTTGTTTTAGTATCCGCTTTCTGGTTCATCAATGATGCTTCTTTTCTTGTTGTGTCTGATGTATAAGTTTTGGAGGATAAAATTGACTGCTTCAAAGCTTGTGATCATATTAAATGCTATTATGTTTGATGATGGTAATTTTTTGAAGCCTCTCCCCTTTCAGTTGAGATATGTCTGGTGAATGAATATCGAGATTTTTGGCTTTGCTCTTCGAGTTCTTGTTCTCTCTTTGCTATCTCTTGATCTCGCTAACGTTCAGTGTCACTATTTCAACATCTTTATTTCACTACGCTCTCTTTTTGTAATCACCTCATTCAGAGAGCAGATGCGAGTGATTCGAGTCCTATGATTTTTCTCGCAGCAGCTTTCAAGCATGCGGGTCTAAAACCGACGGCCGAGATGCAAATTTACCTAATGCATGGTTCAAAGATGATGAAGGAAGAAGGTGAGTGTTTACAGCTTCTTAACGAAGGGGAATCTAACGAGTAAATTCAACTTCATAGTGCAATGAAGTGCATCAGCTAATCATGCCTTTTTTTTTATTTTTATTTTTATTTTATTTTTTACTTCTAAGGGAGGTATTTGCTACGGGAAAGAGTGAATTCTCTAGGCCTGTTTGTTTCCGTTTTTAAAAACGTTTTTCACGTTTTCTGATAAGAGAAAAATGAAAATAACATAAAGATAATGTTTGGTTCAACACCGTACCAGAAACGAAAATAAAATCGTTTTTGTATTTTTTTTTTAAAAAAACTACCACCATTCTAAAAACGAATTAAACTCGTTTTCATTTTTTCTATTTTCATTTTCTCTCTTCTAAAATTTTTTTCTGCCCTTCACTTCTCACATGTGATCTCTCTCACGTGGTCTCTTCCTGAATTTCTCCGTTCTCTTCTCGTCCTCTTCTCCGGTTACAGTTCTCACGCGGTCTCTTCCTGAATTTCTCCGTTCTCTTCTTGTCCTCTTCTCCGGTTACAGTTCATTGGTCTTTTCCGATCTGACTTTTCCGGTCTGCTCCGGTCTGGATTTTTGGCTGAAATTTGAGCAGATCTCTCGGACCCCCCAAATCAACCGACCCTGCGCCTGCGCCGCTCCTACTCCCCCAAATCAAGAAGGTAGTCTTTTGCAAATTCCACACTTGGTATGGTTTTATTTGTTTGCCTATATAGGGACGATGGATTATACGAATAGTGTCTGTATGTTAAGATTAATATTATTTTAGTTCCTTGCTTCCTTGGGGTCCGCATCTTTTGCAGTAAGGTTGAACCTCAGTATTTGGAAAATAGGAAAGTGGATATCCTCGCCTTTGTCTATCAATCTCTGTTGTTCAAGCACCAAGTGTTTTCCCCTTATAGGCTGAAGTTACTATTTCAAAGCTGCTGGAGGAGAGGATTTCAAACATCGAAGAGAGACAAATTTTGCACGAGAAATTAGTAATTTGCTCAAGCTCACTTTTATTCTTTATCGTTTCTCACATTTTGTTCAATGTTATGTCCTCGATAGAATCTTCAATATTTCTCAGTTAGCGTCTTATAAATGTTGAACTTTTAAATAGAACTCTTTCTTCTTCTTCTTCACAACCCTTAAACCTTTGACCTTGAGGAAAGGGACAACAAGCCCATCCACCAAGGCACAAAGAGGATCGTAACTTTTGAATAGAACTATAGAAGTGAAAGAAGTCTGGGGAATATATTCTTAAAAACCACTAGAGTCCTTGTATGGACTGATTAAGTGCCGCACTGGGAGAGCTTTAGAGGGACATCCATATGGGATTCATGCCATTCGAAGCCAACCGCTATGTATTGCGAGAAACTCCCTATGGTGCTAGCTATGTATACCTAATGACAGCCTAAAGAGCCTTTTCATGCTTACCTGCCTAAACCAAGCAAGACTCTTAAATCAATCCATTACCAGCAAGATATGGCTCAGCCAAAACATGAGAGCGCCCCCGAGTAATCTGCATTTAAACTAAAGCATATTTATGGCCCGTTTAGTTCGCTGATTCGAGTTTTTAATTCGAATTGAAATGTGACTTTATGTGAGAATTTTTTATTGTAACAAAAAAATTAAATGTGACTGTTTCTGAGAGTTTTTTACTGTAATAAAATTTAAATTTTAAACTCGAAACGGTGAAATGAACGGGGCTTAATTTGCTTGGCCGTTGATTAGCCGAGTCATGGATTTTTCTTTTCCTGTGTGCTACCTCCGTAGCGATTATCTCGAGGGAAGGCACTAAAAACACGTTGCTTATTTTGAAAACTAGATATTCCACTTGTTTGGATGTACATCTCACATCCGTCTGGATGTCTCTAGGAAGCCTACATATTTTAAACTCTCATAATGTAATATGCAAATGTTCAACTCTTCAGACACTGTATTTATCCCCTTCTGCATTATAGATTTATTCTTGTTTGTGATCAATTCTTTTTTACTAATCATTTCATCTTATTTTAAATTTACTATTTATTTATAATGTAATTTAAATTATTATATTAATTATTAGTGTTTTTATTTGGGATTCAATTATTATTTATTTAATATATTATTAATTTAAACACTATTACATATTTTTAAAAATTAAACCACCAAACGTAATTTTAATTTTTTTTTTTAAAACTGAAAACAATCAATGAATAAAACTACTAAACACATTTTCAGAAATGATTCCAAAATAGAAATGAAAACGTTTTTATTTCTATATTTATATAAAAAATAAAATTATTTTAGAACGAATTCTAAACACACCCTCTATTTTTCTTCATTAAATATGATCAGTTTTTTTTTTTTTTTTTTTTCATGGAAAAGTTGACTTCATTATCAAGCCAGATCAGCTAGAATAGAAGGAGCTATAAACATGAGAAAAGCATCAAATCCTGAACATCTACATTAGTAGTACTAAAAGAGTGATACTATATGGTTCCTCGCGTGCAAACAGAGAGTGGATCCCAACTTGGGCACGGAGTTGTGCCGAGTTCCTTCATGCTGAGCCGCAAAGCACTTTTGGTAGAAAAAGAGCATGCCAAAGATTGCACGACCATATTTTTAAGGTAGGAAGCCGCCATGGCGATTATTACTGTTAGAGTTAAAATCAGCATCACAGTTATCGCCGTACACGTAGATATCATTTGGAGAAAAATGTCAACTTAAATTGATTGAAACCAACTGAAGTCTAGATTAACTCAAGACGACTGGAGAAGACTGACGATAAGAGGAGTGTAGGTGGAAGCCACGAAGATTATTTCAGCCATATCCTACATTAAAGGGTCAAATTGGGTAAGTAACAAACATGAAATGTCCCAAGAAACCAATATGGAAACAAGTAAAGGGAAAGTCAACCGAAGGAAAATGAAAACTATCCAATCTAAGAAAAAAGGAAATTAGAATGTCATCTCCTATAAATAGGAGATGAGAATCATGACCAAGACGAATCAAACTCCTCATATTACGCGCTTTTAGTAGCCAGCCGCACTAATCTGTCAAATAACCCACGTTAAAACTCAAATAACCCTCACGTGACCCAATTACAAAAGGTTATTCACATAAAATCACGCCTTTATTCAATTTAGGGCTGAAAGCAGCCAAAGAAGCTAGGCTTTTGTAAAAATAATCTAATAGAAAAGCTTTATTCATAAAATGACAATTCAAAAATTTTTATTTACAAAATGACTTTATGAGAAAAAAGAAAAACGAAAAAAAAGGAACCCAAAATCCCCTAATCAGTTTTCATGTTTTCATTGCCAAACATGTGAGCTCGCCGCCCATCCCCACCGGAGACCCGCCGACCATCCCCATCCCCACCTGCGACCCATTGCACCTAAGCAAACCCAGCCAAGCCCCATCCCTATCGCGCCGCCCACTTCGAGAACCCCAGCCAATCACGCCACCCACTTTGAGAACTCCAGCCACTCACGACGCCCACCTCGCGAACCCAGCCATCGCAATCGCGCCGTCCCCGATCAAGCCACCTCCCAATCGTGTTGGACTCCTAACTTTTCGTTATGAATTAAACCAGGCCTTCGAGGGCTTTCTTCCGCAATGGAGAGTTCTTCTTGCTCATGTCGGCGAGAGAAGGAAGGGGCTCCGCGACTGGGCATAGACTACGGTAATAAAATAAATAAAATTAAAATTAAAAAATTATTTTCTTAATTTTACTTTTTTACTCTTATTTTAGCCAAATTCTCGTTCTTTTATCCTCGAGGTTCCTCACAAGCCACACCACAGAAGCCAAATGTCTTCCATGGCCTTGTTTTCTCCGCCCACCCATCTCCCAACTCACTCTCCTTCTTCTTCCCTCTTCGAAACCCATTTCTCTCACAAGTCCCATATGCTTTTCCGACCCAAGAATCCTCTTCTTTTTCGCCCTAAGGCCTCGGCCGACAATGGAGCCGGAGCCCTCGGCTCGGCCGCCGTCACCGCCGTGGAGGAGCCCAAGGCAGCCCCCAAGGTTCCAGAACCTTCCGAGAGCTCCGATGGGGCAATGTGGTCGGTGCCTAAAGGTTTGCCTATTTATTTGTTTGTTTGTCCGATTTCCACAGAGAAGGAGAAAGAGAGAGAGTTGAATTTTGATTATTTAGGTTTCCTATTCGAATTGGGAAAAATTGATCTAGTTTTGCTTGTTTGAATTATCCGTGGGAGTGAGAATTTGGATTTGACTTTCATAATGTGAAGAAATAGCAAGAAATTTTGTGGATAGAGAGTATTAGGAATCCTTGATTAGAGATTTAACATATATTTGATTGTGGCTCATTTTCCTCCATATATATTTTCCTCTTTTACCTCCACCGATTGCTCCATTTGTATATTTTTTCTTACATTCACTTTCATTCCTTGTACAATCCCACTGATTTCTTCTTTTTGTAATTTTCCATGTAAAGCTCTGTGATTTTGTGATATTTTTCCTTATAAAATACAACTTTTGCTCATTACAAATCTAAAAGTTTCATAGAGAGAATTTTTCTTAATGGTGAGAAGTTTTGGTCTTTGAAAAAAAAAAAACAAAGCAAGAGACAGACCAGAGGCCAGATCAGAGGCGGTGGAGATGGGGCCACGGCCACCGGCAGAGGAAGCCCTAAAGGAGGCGAAGGCGGAGGGCAAGGGCTCGGTGGCTTTTGGGCTGAAGATGACAACGGTGGAGTCGTTGGGCTGATTCTCGTG